ATTTATATATACACTGCCGGCCAAAAGTTTGAGACCACCCTCATAAAAGTATGAAAATGAAATAAAACTCAAAAAAAAATACGAAGTAAGAGGTTTAATTAATAATTAACATACTTATACATTCTTCCTACACATACCTCAGGAAGAAAAAAAAATTATTTACATCAAAAATGCCGTTAATATTTAAACAGATTTTTCATCAAAAAACCCTCCCTTGCATTTTATTACTTTTTTCACGAGTCTTGGCATACGACCAATCAATTTGTCGATTGTTTCTTGTGGAATATTGTTCCAGCTTTCTTGTAAAGTCCTCCACATGTCCTCTTGCGAGGAGGGGCAACAACTGCGTACATTTCTATCAAGCTCTTCCCACAAAAGCTCGATCGGGTTGAGATCCGGGCTCTGAGGGGGCCACACCATGTTTTTTAACACTCCTTCTGTTTCTTTATCTTCTAAATAACCCCTGCATAATTTTGAACTATGTTTAGGATCATTATCTTGTTGGAAAATAAAACTATTTCCAATTAATCTTACACCAGACGGAACGGCATTTTGGTGTAGTATTCGTTTGTACTGCTCCTTTTTCATAATTCCTTCGACTCGTACCAAATCTCCGGTTCCATAGCCCGAGAAGCATCCCCAGACCATAATAGAACCTCCACCATGTTTGACAGTTGGCACCACACGGTCTGGCATCATCTTTTCCTCGGCGCTACGTCGAACAAAAAATTCGTCTCTTAGATCCAAATATTTCAAATTTGGATTCATCTGTCCAAAGAACTTTTTTAAAGTCTTCTTCAGTCCAGTCTCGATAGGTAAGGGCCCACTGCAACCGTTTCTTTTTGTTTTGTGGCCTTAGTAGTGGTTTTCGAACGGCAACACGACCAAATAAGTTAGCATCTCTCAATCGTCTTTTTACTGTAGTCAGTGATACAGGTTTAGACCGGGATTTGTTTACTTCTGCACGGATTTCTGGTGCTGTTAGGCGTCTATTCCTCTTGCTGGTAACGACGATAAATTTATCCTCGCTAGAAGTGGTAGCTCTCGGCCTTCCCGATCGCAAACGATCCCGATCTCGATAACTGCCAGTCTCCTTGTATCGGACTATTGTGTTATGAACACAAGTCTTCGACAACTTAAGCTGAGAGGCAATCGCACGTTCAGATTTACCTTCGTTGTGTAAAACAACTATGGTACAACGAGTTTCACTGCTAATTTCGCGCACTTTACCCATTTTAAGTGGTTTCTTTAACAGTGACGAGCTCAGACTAACCAAAACTTAATTTTATAAAAACTCAGGTAAAAAATATGTTATAGAAAGCGAAAATAATCCTGAACATATGTTTTTTAGAAAGCTAATATAATCCTGAACTTGAAACAAAACCGAAATTATTAGTAATGAGCAGCTCATAAAAATATTACAATGACTCTACCATCTGGTCCCTGCGCGGCACTCATTAATGTTTTGTAACAATAGACCTTTATAATATCATAACTTATAAATATACAAAAAGGATGATAATAATTAGTAGTTTAATAACTATAGAATACGCAGATATTCAAATCAGCTATTTGTCATATGCACTTTTGAACTATTTTGTTGGTGAATAAGATTTTTACAAGTGGTCTCAAACTTTTGGCCGGCAGTGTACATATACAGAAAAAAAATCTTATCTCTTGTTTTGTTTACGGATTCAAATTTTTTATTGCTTCAAACTTTACACTTTATTTATCATGTCTATAATATAAGGAAACATAGTTAAAAAATTATAATTAATATAACAACTTTATATAAAATATTATACGAAGGAAAGAAATAATGATCGTTATTACTTACGCAGTTCAATCTTTTTAAATCAATTTTCAGTAACGGAATTATTATTACACAGTATGCTTTATTGTAATAAATTTGTCTAAAAACGCTCACATAAATATTATTTTAAAGCTCGTTAAGATTTTCTATTTCCGTAATACTTTTTTCTACCTCGGTAACGTAATCCTTAGACCTCCTCTAAGACTATGTTTATATATTAAGAGTTAAATTAAGCGTTCATTATGAAAAGCGTTTTTTAAAGTATTATTTACAGATAAGCTGTTACCCGCGACTTTGTCCAAAATAAGCAATGATTATAAATTACATTAAATTTTTTATATATTTTAAGGTGAATTATAATAATTGTTTCAAATTTCAAAGAATTTAGACAAAATGGAGCTTATGCAGACTGTTAAATCAGATGAAAACGAGATAATGAACCAAAGTCCAAAATACATAATTCCATTTACTTTAATGACGTCATTACTCAAACCAAATTACAAATATGTTTCAAATCTTAATAGATTTAGTTAGACCTTTTCATCTAACACCGTCCTTGGAAATACATATCTTTTTAAATTTAATGATTTTCAAAAATTAGTTATTTTATTATTTATTTATAAATTAATATTTTGTTTATATGTACGTACATAAAAGAAAAATTTAATCGAAAGTAACAATCTATATAATTTATCTTATCTTTTATTAAAAACATCGCTTTACTTGTCTACGACGCATAATATTCCTAGAACAGAAATGAATTGATAATTTACATACGTGATATTGGTCAAGTGTAGTATATTTATAGAAAAAAAACTGATTTCCAAAGATAGCATCAAAGAAAGTAATAAACAAAAATATTAGACGTCATTTGTTTGGCTGCTGAGAAATATAAGTGCCACCTATGTATAGTTTTTTACCCGAAATTTGGGCCATATATGCCAGAAGTTATTCATAGTGATGACTTCTCATATGGAACATAGCACCTACCTTCAGTATCAAAAAAATAACTCTCAAACACCATGAGAGCCTACGATAACTATCCAATGAAGAACCAAATCTCTATCAGTATTATCCCGAAGAAATAAATTATCATATAAAACTATTATCATGAAAAAAAATGCCTGAAATAATATTTATTGACTAGCAGCCCGCCAAGTGAATAAGAAGCCATAGACATTAAATATATTACCACAGTAAAAACCTATTCACATTTGACTTGAAGACCTCCAAATTGTAATTTGAAGGAAACAGAGATGGGGACATACTGTTATAACGATTTAAGACAAATTTAAGTCCGATGGTAGAAACATAACTAGTATAGGAAGCCGTGAGTAAGGAATTGGTTACCGAAGACTTCTTTGAATAGGACATGACCAAGTTGTAATAAATACTACTAGAAGTAGCAGTCAAAAAATATTTAAAAAGCTGTTCGTAATACCAGAATCTGAACTATTTGATAGTGATTAATTCAACAGATATACCAAAATCCAATGTTTAAGAATCTCAAGAAATCGGCGTAAATAATACCCTCAGGACTCTCACTTTGGTAGGAAATTTCTCAAAACTAAAAGAATATTAAGAAAAGAAAATAAATTTGAAAATGCAAAGAAAAATATGTGCTAAAAAAGCTAGCAAGCACAATAGAGTATTCTTAAAAGCACTCACAGAATATTAATACATATCATGAAAACAAAAAAGACATCTGTCTATGAAAAAAATCTGTAATGACAGTTTTATAAGAAGCCGTTGGTGATAGAAGTACACTAAAAAAAAAATTGTACCAACAAGTTTTATCTAAGAGAGGCGATTTCCAAATCAAACTTTTGAGCACATAAAAAAAAAATTCACTGACATAACTGTGATCCAAGAAGAAAACAAGCTATAAAGAGATACGGTTTTAAGTATTATAATATATAAGGGCCAAATAAAGAGGCGACATCTTCCATTATTAACTGGGAAACTTACTCTCATTAAAAATATATTCATAAAACATCTTGGTAATGCCGTGAAGTATTTATTGAGACTGTCTTAATTACTAAGAAAGTAGGAAAATTTGGGAACTAAAACACACCATAACATCCATAAATTTTTTGTTCATCAATTTCATTCAGAAGACCTAAGACTAAAACCAAAATGTGTATTTGAGGTGAAATGGCCTAATGCCTTTGATGAGGACTTGGCTATTTTATCTATATAATAACTAATAATTATCGTCTGTTACTCAAATAATATCTGAATGTACATTAAAAACATATTATTGCAATAGCACTTCTAAATTTTATGAAGATGAGGTGTACCAGAACATTCTGTTTTAAATCAAATACTCTACAGAAACTAAGAAGCTGATTGAAGTGATAACCATAGTTTCACTACAACTCAAATATGCACATGAGATAGCAACAATGTAGTTCTGAATCAATTTCGCTTGGTTGATATTAAACAAATACATAGTTAAGACAAATTTATAAAGTGTAAAGGCAATTAACCTATCAAAGAGAGATAATTGATACTATCAGGTATTTGGGACTACACACAATAGAATATTGTGGGAATGTGGGATTACCAAATATCATAGATGTTTGGAAGCTGCTCACTAATGTTAATTTTCTAACAATGCAATAACTGAACAAAGTGTGAAAAATGCATATGAACAAAGTAGCCAAATATCAACCACTCACATTTGTTCAAAGTTCAAAAAAAAGGGAACAATATTATTTGATCACTCCGATTAAAGCATATTTAAAAGACAAACAGTATTAACCTTATCATTATGTTTATAATAAAATTTCATAATAGACTTCTATTAGAAAAAAAAAATTAAAATGTTACACAAATACACATACAATTAATGTATTTTATTGGTATTGAAAAATATAATTCTAAGTGCAAAATAATAAAAGGTAATATATAGTGACAACATAAAATATACTCCTAGCAGCATATATATAAATAAATAATAATAAAATAAATAAAAATAAAAGGGTATAAGAATGCCTCATGTTCAATATGTTTATAGTCTAGACAAACAAAAAAAGGAGAATTCACAACAAAGGCTTATAATATTACCTTAAAATGCATATTAAATACCAAATAACAAGATAAAATTTGTCAATTTAAATGAAATAAAATATATTCCTATTTATACAACTGATATGCTACAAATCTATTATTTTAATACACTCACCATATCAACAACGGGTACATCATTCACAGTTTCACTGTTTATTGCAGACGTCCTTAACAAATGTACTCTATATGCTTCGTCTTTAGGTGTAACTATAACTTGGTTTGGACAATTGCATCTACTTTTAGGATAATTGGTTGGAGATTTTGCTCTAGGAGTATTACCAAGAGCGGCTATAGCAGTTCCATATGAATAACCAGTTCCAGAATTATCTTTAGCCCGCTTCATGTTACTAGATCTATATGAAAGGTGACTGAAAAATAAATTAAGATTATTCAATTGGTTTTATTTTATCATATTTTTAAGCTATACTTTTTTTTAGTTTTTCACATAGCAATGTTATGTTTATAAAATTGTATGTTTACAATGTCAAAACATCAAGGCCATCCTGATTATAATTAGATGACATTATCATGAGAAATTTACATTTTTATGAATAGTTAATGTAATATAACCTTAAAACCTACCCATCGTATCCCGGTAAAGATGAGCCGAGATGAAAACTACAATAAAAATTATCAGATTCACTGGACGCTCTTTGTCTTCTGCGTCCTTCTAATGCAGATTTGGATTCCTGATATGATCTATTTTTAGGTTTCTTTAATATACTTTGCGGCTGTGTCTTAGGCAAAGGATTATTGAGTATTGACTTCAAAGGCTGTTTGGTCATAGGAACCTCTAACATTTCCTGGTCCACTTTCTCAAGCAATTCCTCAACTTTAGGTAGACGGCTGTCATCTAGCTTATTGTTTGATAATGTGGTGACTAACAACGGACGAATGGGACTAGATCTTTGATATTTCGTTCTTCCTGGCTGGTAACTGAATAGAAAAATAAAAATAATTATTATAGTTTGTCATTTACTAGGTTATTAATTTAGGTTATGCCTTCAAAACTAACCCATGGCGTATGTTACTGTCGTGTGCCATAACGTAGTCGCCGTTCTCAGCGGGCAGCGAGCACTCGTGGTCGAACCTCTCAAATCGCTCGTAACCGTTGTTCAAGGTAAAGTGGCTTTTATTTAATGCACGGCACTGGCGATATTCGGGTCTATACAACTCCCGCGTCGCATCCTCATATGGAGACCGATCGACGCCTTCGCTGCGGCAGCGCCGTCTCAGCACACGCGCCGGTCCTCGCCCTGACCACTCAAACACTGACCGTAAAGGATCGCACGCCTCGAACCCGGCCTCGTAGCTTGGGCACGTTCTCATGCCATCCATATCCGCGCTTATTCGCAATGCATCATCAATGCCACCACAGCTACCAGGAATTTCACTATTGCACTACTAATTTTTTTAAATCCTCAGAAAAATGGACGGCCAGGGTCAGGCGTCGAGGAGGCCAGACGACAGCTGACAGATCACTGTTTAACAATTACAAAACGTGCCAGCTCTCCCGCCAAAGTTGAAAGAAAAAATATTATTTCCTTAAAGAAGTTTACATAGTTTTTCGAAAAACAAGCATATCGCACCGAGCTACTTTCAAACCGCGTATACACCGTTAATTTTACTATACGTGCTTTCAGTAATGGCGATGGTGATATTATTGGGATTGATTGTAAACAATAACAGAATCTGCAATATTTTAAAATTTGTAACACCTTTGTCTACCAACATAACTCTGCACATTTTCTTCTTGATCACAGCATCGTTACGTTTTAATTGAACTATAAATTCAAGATTAGGATGAAAATAATTTCTTTTCATCCACACCAAAACCCTTACCCTTACCGCTAGGTATGTGATAGTTACATGAATTTTTAAAAAATGACATTGATCTATTTTTTTGTACTACTGTCGCAAATAGGCATATCAGTAAGTTAGACAGAGGGATCCGATTAGTTCGTTTTCTTGCCACCTATATATTTTAAGTCCGCATGAAATCATAGTGCGTACTACACTCATTCATTCATACGATTGATAAATTAGTGAACACTTCAAACAAAGCTATTTGTTGCTGTGTCTGAAAATATTTAATGTTTGTTAAATAATATATACTGATATAGTTAAAACTGATATTTTTTAAAATTTAATAAATTACTCCAAGAAGCAGTTTACTCTTACGGTCATCTTTATATTACTAACCAAGAAGGATGTAAAAAAAGTCAATTCTCTTTAATTAAACAATAACAAATACATTTACAAAGAAATGTTATTTCAAAATGAAGTTGAATGATATTTGTAATAATCCTAAAGAAGTCTCAAGAAAAATATCGATAGGTCGGGCGCTTCACTACGTTCAATGCGTTCCGCAAGTCTTTAAAACATACTAAATTCTAATTCTAAAAAAATCTGGAGAATTCCCTTCCTTGTGGCGTACAGCTTACATCATTCCACTTCCTAAAGTTCCCAATCCTTCCCAACTAAATAACTTCAGACCTATTTCTATTCTTCCTTTTCTATCGAAAATTGTGGAGCTGTGTGTCTACAAGCAAGTCTCTTCCTTTGTTTACAATAATAATATTCTCACCTCATATCAGTCTGGCTTCCGACCAGGCCATAGCACAGCTACCGCTCTTCTCAAAGTATCTGAGGATATTCGGGTTGGCATGGAGAATAGAATGATCACCATTTTGGTCTTAATTGATTTTTCCAATGCTTTTAACATGGTTGATCATGATATCGTCCTGGCCATATTCAAGCATTTAAAATTTTCTTCATCAGCTCTGGAATGGTTCTCCTCTTATCTTCGCGGCCGCCGGCAAGCGGTTAGGCTGAATCAGTCCCTCTCCGAGTGGCTTGATCTTTCTGCTGGCGTTCCGCAAGGTGGCATTTTATCTCCTATTATTTTTTCTCTTTTTATAATTTCCTTTCTTTTCATCTCGACTGTTCTTATCATTTTTACGCCGACGATTTGCAACTATACTGTAATTCAGAGATAGACAATATCGAAACAGCTATAAATAAAATAAATCAAAATCTTTCTTACGTTTACAACTGGTGTAATAAATTTGGCATTGTAGTTAACCCTACTAAGTGTCAGGCGATCATTGTTGGTAGCTCACGTCTCATGTCTAAGTTAAATATTTCTTCTTTGTCACCTATCGTTTTTAACAATACGACTATTCCATACTTCCACCGCGTTAAAGATCTTGGTCTTCATATTGATAGTACATTAAGTTGGAATGTGCATATTTCTGAAGTTAGTCGTTCTGTCACTGCCACGTTAAGGTGCCTTAATCGTTTAAGGAATTTTTTACCTATTAAAACTAAAATCTTACTTGTACAAGCCCTTATATTTCCTATTATAGATTACGCTGATGTGTGTTATCCTGATCTCAATGAAACCCTTTTGAACAAACTTGACCGTCTCCTAAATAACTCCTTACGTTTTATCTTTTGTCTTCGTAAATTTGACCACATTTCTCACTGTCGAGCAGAGCTCAAATGGCTTCCCATCCGCCAACGCAGAGAATTACGTCTATTGTGTCTTCTTTTCTCTATTCTTTTTGATCCCCAATCTCCTCTTTATTTAAAAGATAATTTTAAATTTCTCTGCGACAATCATGATCGACAGCTACGCTCTAATGACTCTCTCCTCCTCTCTTTTCCCAGCCACCACTCTGGTTTCCTCTCCAACTCCTTCTCTGTTAAATCTATCAGACTGTGGAATAAACTTCCACTAGAAATAAGAAAGGCACCTACAAGGGCAATTTTCAGGCGTCGCTTACAGGAACATTTTGCTCAGAATCTGTGTTAAGTCTCTGTTTTTATTATTGTTTCTGGTGTATTGTATTTGTATGTGTATGTATATGTATATGTATGTGTATGTATATGTATGTGTATGTATGTGTATGTATATGTATGTGTATGTATGTGTATGTGTATGTATGTGTATGTATATGTATGTATATGTATGTGTATGTATATGTATCTATATATATGTGTATATATTTTGTATATATCAATGGAAATTAATATGTATATTTTTACTTTTACATACTACCGTCTTCATGTCTTTCTGCTTTGCCTAAGGGTTGACTGGGAGAGAATGCCTTCAGGCATTAAGTCCACCTTTTGTTTCTACGTGTGTAGTTAGACAATAAAGATTTTAAATAAATAAATAAATAAATATAATTATGAAAAAATAAATTTCAATGCTTCGATGATTAAAAATTGTGTTTAAACAAAACAATTAAAATTATGTTCATATTTAGAAACATGAGTTGTTTCCCTCTCATGAATCAATATTTTATATTTACGATAAAATCATCTTTTTTTAGCCGACATTAAAATAATTAAAGGCTGAAGTAAATTAGATTTTATATTATATTTTTATAAACTATCTTTGTTTGTATTTATTTTTTAAGCTGGTCGTATAAATTTTAAACTCTAGGTCAGCTTTGCTTGTGTAAAACTATCGTTATTTCGAATCTTTAGTGTATATTGGAGCAGTGTGTCTTAGTTATGTTTTATTTTTGTCTTCAGAAACTACAATAAATGGTTAATCATTATACAATAAATGTTTAATTATTATATAATAAAATATCAATAATGATTTATATTTCTTGGCAGTATTGCTAAATTCAATTTAAATTTTCAATTTCGGAAAAGGATGTCGACAATACATCGTCTATTTTGATTTTAAAATTTCTGTATTAGATAAGAAAACGATTATTTTAGAATATCTGATTTATTATTTCACTATTGAAATTAATTTGATTATCTTATTTCTATTACTGTAAAGTTTTAAATTTCTTATAATTTACCAAATGGCTGCATAGACCACGGAATCTTAAAACTAATAAATAACAATTAGTAGCACATATTTGGGGCGAAGTAAAAAAAATAAAAATAGTTTTAAAACTTGTTTTTAAAATTGCTTTAAAACCAACGTCCGAATCCCTACCAATATTATACATGCGAAAGTAACTCTGTCTGTCTGTTAGGCTTTCACGCCTAAACCACTGAACTGATTTTAATGAAATTTAGTACAGAGATAGAGTTGACCTTGAGAAAGAACATAGGATAGTTTTTATCCCAGACTTTTGAGAGGGTCTCTTGGAAACGCCATATAACCGAACTCCACGCGGGCGAAGCTGCAGGCGGAAAGCTAGTGCGTAATGCATATATAATTTTTTTATTATGTCGTAAGCTGTATGTTTTTATATTACGTAGTAAATATTTTGCAATATATTGTTTTGTATTCCGATGACATTAGACAATTTAACATCATCAAATCTGTCTTGACAGTTTAAGGACCTCTGAGTATTTAAAAACATCAAAATTTACACAAGGGATTTCAGGTCACTGGCACTATTCACCTGATCCTTCTGTGAAAGTTAGTGGAATACAAATTGCTTCAGTATAACCACCGAAGTAATGACTAATTTTCCACCCAAGAAAATTTGGTAGTTTCTGAACCTACAAGTTACAAAAACACAGCCTTACACAAACTTTTCATTCGTAAGATACTCTTGCGTACATTTTTATTCATACTACTTGAAGGAGATAAGTAAATAAAACAATGTTTATGAGAATCAGTATTTTTTTTACTCAGTAATAAACTACCTCAACCTCTCAACTGACTCTTATAATAAACTTAATATATATGAATATGACTCCTCACTTATATTAATATTCATTTCAATAAAAATGTCAATGTGTGAGAATATTATTTATTTACGATTTATAAAACGATGCTTATACAACATAAATGTGCATCGTAACTCACTATAATCTTGGAATTTTTTTGCTTATCACTATATCCGTCATAATATAAACCAATATTACACGAATTCAATAAATCCACGTCCAGACACCGACGAATATTTAATGAACTTATTACAACTTTACAGTTAAATAATAAAAATGTATCTATGTACATTTCCAGCTATCGAATGTTGCATCCGCTTGGCGTCGGTTATTTACAATTTTTAACGTTTCAAACTAAAAACAAACACAATGATAAATATGTATTCAAATAATTTGTGTTTTAGACATGCTTCATTGTATGTGTTCCAATAAAAACGAGATTAAACAAAGAATCTGTACACACCAGCTTAGAACACTCGCGTCAAACACATGGCAACATTATTTAAAAAAATCTATCATAAGCAATGTTCCATTATGTCAAAGCGTTCATTCACATACTGATATACAAAGTAGAAAAAATATACATTGTATCCAACATTACAACCGTATGGAAACGTTAGTGTCGCGACATATTCTGACACAATTTGAATGACGCTCCACAAAACTGCCTTAGGATTGGCTGCCATTTTAATTTTTAAGACGACGTACGGTCGTAAAGTGAAATCTGTAAAGAAAAAAAAAATTACAATATTTACAATCTCCAAGCAATAGGAAATGTATTGAAGCAGTATACATTTTTAACATTATTATTATATAATATATACAAATTGAAAATGTCTTCATCTTAAAACAACATTACTTTAATTATAAAAATAAATTCGTGAACGTTAAAAACTTTGATGATTTCATGAACAATTATAAGTCAATAATTCCTTTAAATGGAACTAATATTTTCGGATTTACTACGCAGTTTTTTATTTTTGACTATAAACTACATACTCCCGACGTTTCGGTTACTTTACAGCAAACGTGAGAGGGTGTCTGTCAGTCGGTCTTAATAATTCCTATTACCTACTATTGATAGACTATATCAGGGGTTCCCAAAGATCTATCTTAGGTAAATAATTACAAATCCCCCCTCAGGTCATTACTTCTCTTTCTCCCCCCCATTTCTTACCGCAGTTCTTTTGCCCTAGCGCTCACAAGGGGGCGTTATTGCCCACATTTTAAAGTTTTACTACATGGATTTAACTTTCAGAGAACATCCATAACAGAATTAAGACAATTCCTGTTGACTATTCTTACAACAGTATCCAAACCGCTTTTATAACTAATTGTCAACATTTCTCATGGTAATTAATAATAACATCTCCAAAACCTTCTTTAAATGTATGTATGTATGTTCCATATATTAGTAACCTTAGCTGGTGAGCAGCGCGATGTTAATCTCCTTAACCATCTTAACTCTGTGCAGCATCTTAGCGAGTGCTGCTCTACTGAGAGGCTGTGTTGAGTACCACACGGGCGAGTCCGGGACACAGGAACGCTCAGGCTGAAGGTAGAACACGTCGTTCCTTGTACGAACTGACTCCGGACTGAGGAACAATGAACAAAATACACATATGAAGAATAATATACATATAATATACTAGAAGTCCCGGCGAACTTCTTGTCGCCCTATAATCAAGAAATATCTGTTACGATTTTTTTATTTATATGTATTTTTAGAGTTTACCTATCAAAGCCATAAATCTCCGTGTTTTGAAGTGTGACAGAATGATTGACATATTAGTTAGTTGTCAAATCTAATGTCAAAAAAAAACGTTTGTATCAACAACTACTAATAAATTAAAAATTAATTAAAAAAATATTGTCCAGCGGAAAAACTTGTGAATCTAAACCATTCCCAGATCCCCTTGAACACACACAAAAAATTTCATCAAAATCGGTCCAGTTGTATGAGAGAAGTTCAGTGACAAACACACTCACAGAAGAATTATATATATATAAAAATATGTATTATATAGTATTTTATTCTGCTGTTGACATTTAAATGAAGAAAAATTTAGTTTAGTGGCGAAAAACACGACTATTTTTCTTCTGAGTCATAAATCAATTCAGTATACGAATTATTATTATCAATATTAAAAAAAATATATAACTTCTTATTGAATAATTATTTCAAAATATTGATCAAACATACCATTTCGATATATAAAATTCATATAATTTAACTGGACATCTCAGCGGGTTTTCCTCATTCTCTTGTTGTTCATATACTTTCTTTTTTCTTGAATTCGCCTCTGTAATGTAAAAACGTAAAATTTTATATACAATTATTTATTAAATTTTATATACTATTATTTTATTTATGTAACATTAATGCATTTTTTGATATCATACCTAATGCTGATTGTGGAGGGTAGAACCTAAGTAGAACATTTCTTGAGCCAGGTATTTTGGCTTGTCCGGGTTGATTTGGATTTCGCTTCCAATGCTTCATTATATGTGAGAATGATAGCTGCATATGTTCCTCTACAGTCTATAACATATAAATACTTGTTTAATGTCATTTTTTATATAATATGTGGGAAATATTTAATATATAACATTTATAAGTAATGCAAAACTATTAGATTAAAAATGGATTTGATCATGTTCATATATATTTAAATAAAGGTATATAACACATCTTGTAGTTAATTTTTTCATTCTACACGACGTTTCGATTACTTTTGACAGAGTTATTACGGAAAGTCGAAATACAACCGTCACTAAGATGTATATAAATACCTAGTACTTATGAAAATGTAAGGAAATATATATTAATATACTCACTACTAGATTAAAATGTTTAGTGTTAAAGAACATAAGTGTGGACAACAGCACGTGTGGGGAGTGTGCGCCTAGTTGTTTACTTTCCCAGAGGTGTTCTTCTTCTACACGAGTCACGATGTATTCTGTTAAGTATACAAATATATTAAAACATGAATATATATAGGGTATATATAATAATTGATGACTATACTTACGGGAATCGTTATATAAAACTGAAAATTTCCTCGCAACTTCGTCCAAACAGTCTGTGAACTTTTCGTAATATGGATCCGTGAATATATTGTCTATCCTACCGTTTTCAAAAAGATATTGTTGAATTCCTGGCGATAAACAAATAATGAATGCTTAATTTCATTAAAAATATATATTTCATTTAAGAAAAAATCTAAAACTAACCTAAAACCAAATAATAAATAGTGTCCGGTGCGTATTCACTGCCGTTAGGTTTCCGCACCTCTTTAACAAACAAACAAAGGGAATAGTTTAACTCGTCGGCCGTAAGTTGTAATATTTCAGATTTAAAAGGTTTTCTTCTTATAGAACTCTTCTCTATTTCCGCGTTCTTAGTCATAACCCACTGCTTCCACGCGTTGACACCGAAAGTGTACTGAAAACAAGATACCAATGAAAATATTAAATTATGTTATGTTAGTTAAAGATGCGTGATATGTCTTATGTTACATAAATTAAATACTCGCGAATGGATCACGAGATTTGAATATAAAAGAACAAGTATACCTAAAAAAATAATTAGTAATATTTAAGATCGTCTCCATGTATGTTTTGAAACTATAACCCCATTTACAACAGACTAGTTTGTGAACTCAGTTAAAGTCAAGCAAAATACCGATCCATTTATTTGTATTATGTATTTAAACTACATACAACTATAATGTGATATGGGGTATAAAGTAGAGAAACAAACTGATACTTCAATGTCAACTCTATTTCGACACAGTTATGATATAATTTTCTTTAGACAATATATTGTAAAGATTTTAATATTATACCTTAAGACACATATTAGCATCCGGTTTTTCCTGCGGTTCGCGAGGCGGGTCGGGCGGCGGCGCAGGCGCGGGTTCCCGCCGTCGTTTTGAAGGTCGCCCACGAGGTGCAACCGTGGGCGCTCTTTTCCGAGCGACGCCCACGCCTACGCCCACACCGCCCACGCCCACGCCGCCCACGCTTGATGCGCGCAGGGCTGCCACAGCGCGCTGCTGTTCCAATACCATCATATGGTGCTGGTGCATGCCCTCGCCTTCTAGACCTACAATTAATACATTATATTAGCAGTTATATATAAAACTCACATTGATAGTTACAACAATTGTTAGCAAATACATGTCTGGATCATATAACCAACAAAATTTGTTAAAAATACGTTTAGTATACAAAATATATTTGAATCTGATGTAGATAAGCGCAATGTCAAACCAGTAGCAATAACTAGAAATGTTATACCACAGAAATATATTTTTCCTTTAATATTCATAAGAGACTAAAATAACCATAAGAGATTATTGTAGATAGTAGAACGATAAAATTAATACATATAAACTAATACTTTCAGATGAGATGAGTAGTAATTTTAAAATATAATTTTCATTTAAATGAATACTAGTGAAGGTCATAGATCTCATCATAAAGTAGTTAATGAAAGTCTTTTTTCACATGTGCATATTTAATGCCACGTCCTAATGCCACAAGTGCTGCTAACCTGGCATTCCCGGATGTGAGCTGGGTGTGATGGTGTTAGCGGTCATAGCTGACTCCAAATCCACGGGCTGGTCTTCGTATTCGGTGGCCATTTTTAATGCCATTTGCAGCACGTCTTCGCCGAATGCATTATTACCGTCCATACCAGCCACTGGACTGAATCCTTCCTCTGTTGAATGTCATTAATTATTAGTATGATAATATTTATTTTTTATATATTTCTCGTAAGAATTATTCCGTATTACTTATTTTGACATCTAGATAATACTAGCCTAAACTAGGTATTGCTTTAAAATTTACCTATTTTCTTTTGGAAAAGTATTTATGTCTACAACGAAGAAACCGCCTTATTACTTCTATTGGCAAACATGCAAACCGTTAAGACAATTGGCATAAAATTAAATACTGAAAGTGGTAACAAACAAACAAATTGACTGTGATAGATTTTCAACAAGTATTCAATAGTAAGTATTCAATGAGATTAATTCAATTTTAGTAACATTATGACATAGATATTACATATGATTTCTCAAACTTGAGACACAGAATTAATATAAACTAGCTGCGACCCACGGATTTCCGAGATTTCCGGGATGTAAAGTAGCCTATGTGTTATTCCTGGACGTCAGCTTCCTGTATGCAAAATTTTATCAAAATCGGTTCAGCCGTTTGAGCGTGAAGAAGTAACAAACATACATACACTCACAAACTTTCGCAATTATAATATTAGTAATATGTTCATAGTGACCGTTTTCGTCCTCGGTGTCTGAGTCACTGTGATCCTTCTTCTTGTCTCCGGCCACCATCTCAGCCATCATCAATAGTTCAGCCTCGAATGGATCAGTCGGCATTTTGTCATGTATCTTATTAATTTCCTTCATTATACCCTTAGCCGAATTCCTAGTCGTCGGTATGAATACCGGCGTCGGTATGGGAATGGGTATGGGTACGGGAACCGGAAACGGCAGCGACCACATCACACACGGAACGGGGACGTATATAGGAACTGGAACCGGTATCAGAACACGACGCTCTAGACTGGGGTCTGTCTGACACTCCTTCGTACATGGATGAGGTCTACATGACACTCCTTTAGACACCATCATTGGTTTGGACATAGTCGCTTTATTAGCGACCTCTTGTGGAGGGAGTGTCTTGACGATCACGTGGTTGTATATCTTGGGAGGTGGCGGTGGCGGGGTGGGCGGTCTCGGCGGTTGTGGGATGGCGGGCTCCGCCGCGTTTTCCTCGGGCGTCACCCGCTTGGTCTTGCTGCGAGCGTTCGTAGGCACTAAAGGCGGCGGCGCAGCTAATGACTGCACGTTCGATATCACAGGCATGCCTGAACCGGTACGATTTTGACCCTTCATAGCTGAAAAAGTCATTGTCTTGAATTAAAAATTTACATCCAAATGTTTTAAAATGACTGTTCTGTAACACATTAATAATATTAAGTTGTATTTTTGTTCGTTCGGAGTAGGTCAGAGTAGTGGATTATAAAGTTTCTAGGACTACAATTTAAATTATATGTTATGCTAGAAATCCTTTGAGGTTCATACAAACGCAAAATAATTATAAAAAATCTGAACCAAAATCTAGTTGAGAAATCAATTCAATTACATTATTGCAATAACAATTCCTTAATGACACGTAAGAATTCCGTTAGTATAAATTAGCAATAAAACTATGATTTTTATCTGCACTTGATCCCGGTTACAGCAAATTAGTTCACAATTGGGGAAAAAAGGTAAATCTTTAGATCGCGAATTAAAATCAGACACTTTCTATTTTATAACTTTAATGAGCTAGGGCAGAGATGCCCAAAGTGTTCGGTATCGACACCGAGGGTAACAGTTCATTTAAGAAAAGAAGAGGGTAACAGTTCATTTAAGAAAAGAAGTCACTTGTCTAAAGTTAGTTTGGGGATCTCTGAACTAAGGAAATGGTTATACATACTTCTATTATTTTTGTGAGTGTTCGCGTTATACGTCCGCCGGGGGGCGCCCGTGGGAACAGCCTTCTGTTGGTCGATAGACTCCCCAGACATTACTGGAGCCGGTTGTTTTGAATATTGTCCCTGAAATATTTTTACGTCTTCCGTTAATATTTTTTCGTCGTTACTATATATAAACTAAACATTAATATTGGCGTATTAGGATAAAATTGTCTGCTTGAACGTAAAATAAACAAATCACATTGACCAAGAATGAAAGTATCAAAATTTTATTTTTATAATCATTATAATGAATTAATTACAATGTAATATTAGATATGTATACATAATACTTCACCTGGAATGTCATCACACACTGGTATGTACAGAAGTTTCGAACAGTAGCGTCCGACATGGTGAGGTGATATTGCGCCAGAGCAGAATTCTTGCATAAATCACATTTCGTTCTATCAACCAAAGTTTAATATAATTAAGTCAATAATTAATTTTAATTATTTAATTTATATAGCATCATCATTACCTTCTTGAAGACACAGCATTAATGGATACTTGATACAGATTCAAACAGTTTACTGAACACATCATAATGTCCTGTCCGTTGGGTTGTACTCGTTTGATCATATCGAAATTGTACTTTTTAACTTTGCACCAGTTACAGGGTACTATGTGTCTTGAATTACTTATATAGATATTCATACAGGACTTGGAACAGAAGCACTGGGGCGATGAACCCTCGTATATCGTAAAAAATTTACTTATTTTCCTCTCAAAATATATTTTACACCATCGGCATTGATCTGGAATTAAATAATATGTATTCAATAAAAATATAACGTTTATAAGACAATATTTATACAGTGGAAACTCGATTAACCGGCCCTCAGTTATTCGGATTCACGATTATCCGGACTACGGACAAGTCCGGACAAGAAAGAAGTCCAAGCGTAAGAAAGTGGTATTGTTGAGAGTGGCGTACGTCAAATGATAATTACCAAATATTCTAATGAAACTTATTATTTTAATTCATGATTACCAATTGCAAATTACCAAATACATATTGTTATTTATTTTTTAAATAAACATATAATGTTATGTACTACATATGCACAAAACCGGCTTTTCTTAATACATTCGATTATCCGAATGCCTATCGACAATAATGAGTCCGGTTAATAGAGTTTCAACTGTATTATGTAGTTTTACTTACCGGGAAAAATATTATTGACGAACTTGAAAGCAGCAAAACAAGGATCGGAACACAGCCTCTGTGATTCATCAGGAGCAACTTCAACCTCGATAGTTGTAGCTTTCTCTAACGAACACACCGCACACTTCGCCCATACAGGCCTAGGAACTGGATTTTTGCTCATTTTATCAAACTTCTCCATACATAATTGCGAACAGAAGTCTTTAAACTGGCCCTTGTCCCCCACGGGAGCTAGGAACCCTTGACTGCCGTCTGATATATCTTTCTGACAGTAACAACAAATCTTCAAACCCTTTTTAAAATCCTCCAAACACGCTGAGTTACAAAATTGTCGTATATTATATCCGAACCTAACGCAGTATTTTCCTAAGCTAGTGTGTTGTACGAGTGCTTTGCAATTGGTGCATTTAGAACCGAATTTATTCTGATATCTTCCTAGACATGTTTCGTTACAAAAGTCCATGGCTTCCCACGTCAGCATTTTTTCCTCATTATCGAGTACACTGTGACAGTTCATACACAGTCTTATAAAAGTCCGTTCCCTCTCTTCCCTGGCCGCTTGAACCATCGCCGGTGACTTTCCTTGTACTTTATAAGCCTCGTCTAAGTATTTATCAGTCGCATTACTGATAACTTTCAACTTGAGCAGTGGTGGATTAGTCTTAACGCCTTTTTTTGGTTGTACCCTTTGTACTCTTTTCTTTCTCAATAAATACCTACCGTTTTCTGTACTATTGATCGCTCTGAGGCACGTTTGGTCACAAATCCATAACTGTTGTCCGTATCGCGTCAAATTATATATACATTCCTTAGTGTTTTCACAGACGCAACACTGATCTTCCTTGGGCGACTTTTCCTCAACAGTTATCCTTCGTCTTTTGAACGTGTATTTGTCTCTTTCGTCCGCCATCATGCTGTGCAGACATTCTACTGAACAGTAGTTCGTGTCTTCACCGTCAAAATTGTAATAAAAATAACATGTCTTTTTCTCCTCACACTCCGAACACGTTAGTACTTTGGGTATAATTTCTTCGACCATATATTTTTTATTTACAACGATGTACTGTCCGGGATGCGCCGTTTGGAATAATTTAACACAACCGAGGACGCATATATAATGTACGGCTCCGTCTTTGTCTGTATATCTGTACTGACATGATTTCTCTTCATTACACTGTACACAGAGAGAGTCAGTGGCACTTATTTGACGAATTGAATTAGGTTCTGGCTCTTCTTGTTCAAAATCGACTGCATCCTCCTGATCGTTTTCTTTGTCTGAAACAATAATTTAAAAAAATGACTTCATTTACGTGATATAGATGATAAAAATAGATTTTAATCCCACAAATGTATGCATAATTGTCCACTTTACAGTATTTTTCTTCAATTAGAAAGGCACTTAATACTATTTTTCACAAATATGCCTACTAAATGCAGATTTCTCAAATATTTGTTATATTATGTCTATATGAAAGTGTTCTGGCTCTACTAAATTTTAAACAGATTTGCTTATTTTGTTTTTGCTGCTATCTTATGGAAATTTCTGTTGAATTGATTATCTGCATCCTTTACATCAAGTCTTGCAACAAATTTGCTATAAAACTTACCCTCCTACACTTGAATTAAGAAGCTAAACATTTACTATAAGTTTTTCTAAGTATATTCTATAGAAAAAAAATCTGAGCGTATAAAAATACTTTTAGTTGATAAGAACTCTTTTGATAGCGCCATCTGTTGCAGTTTGTATACTTTTCCTTACGAAGCTTGGTTCGGTATAAACAAAATGCTCATATGTATAGGGTGAATTTTAATATATAATCCTACTAACATTATAATTGCGAAAGTTTGTGAGTGTGTGTGTATGTTTGTCACTTCCTCACGCTCAAACGGCTGAAGGGATTTTGATAAAATTTTGTATACAGGAAGCTGACGTCCAGGAATAACACATAGGCTACTTTACATCCCGGAAATCCGCAGGTAACACCGCGGGGCACAGCTAGTATATATATAACAACTCACCCCCTACATTATCCTGTGACGTATCCCCAACGGATACTTCCCCCTCCCCCTCCAGACTTTCGTTAACATCCTCCTGAACCTGTTCTTCTGCCCCAATTTCATTACATTCAGTCACCTCAGCCTCTTCTTTAGGCATAGCCAATTCTGCGAGTGCAGCTTCTGAAATAATTTAGCATGATTTTATAGTATAGAAAATTTTATATAAAAAATTCAATTATCTATATCTATAATTAAACATTAACAAACATCACAATATGCAACAGTTTCAGTTATATTTTAAGCATTCACATGTTTTACAATTGATACTTATTTGTTTTCAGTGTGAAAATAATATAGTAAACAATGTATGTAACATACATCTATATAGGTATGCAACAATGTTATAGTGATAATTAATTGATGGATAATAGCAGATCTCGCTATGATTTCTAAGTATTAAAATTGTTCATTTGTTAAATAAAAGTAATTGTTAATTCTACATAGGTCTGACTTAGTAGTTCCATATTAGGTATTTCTTTTAGAACATTATGTAATTATTTGTTTACCCTTAGTACAATATAGTTGAACCAATTAATATAAATTAAGGTTTAAAATACAATCATTTAAATTTTCGTTTCATTGCACCCACCAATCATTGAAATTATACTTACACTGACAATATTTAACTCAGTTATTATTATTGTTGTTTATTTAAACATTTTTTAATTCAATTTTCTTTAAAATCATAGTGTTTTGATACATACCTTCATCCCTTTTTCTCTTCTCAGCTAAAACTTTTTCAGCGGCTGCTTTATCAGCCTCAGATATTTCTCTTTCTGTGTCTGGTAACAAACACACTTCTTCGTCTGCTCCTGGTTGCTCCGTTATATCTGGTATGCCGCTCTCATCATCTGAGGATAAATATAAAAATTTATAGTATAATTTGTTTTGCCATATGAAAAATTTAGGGTTGCATACAGTTTTTTAATGTTACATTATAGTAAAATAAAAACAAAAAAAAAAAAAATCCACCAAAAATGAATTAAAAAAATGTAAGAGTGAACAACCCTTATCACTTAGGGGTACGAAAAATAGATCAGATCTACTCAATATGCTCACAAAATTTCATGAGAATTGGTCAAGCCATTTCAAAGAGTATGGGCATGAACATTGTGTCACGAGAATTTTATATATACGATATATGTTGTTGGAAAATATTTTTCTTTCAATTATTTTATAATAATTTGAATCAATCATTACTATCTTCTGTCTTATGTTTATTCCAATATTCTAATTAAATTTCCATGAATGTTATACCTGGATGAGGTTCATCTTCATCATCAGGGATGATATCATGGACATCATCGGCCTGATGATCATCATTATGGTGATCATCATCGTCTATATCAACTGAGGATAAATCAGCTTGAGCGGCTGTCTCTGATGTTTCCGCTGTATCTGTTCTGTCCTTCAAGAGGGCATCAAATGGATCGAGGGCCTGTAAGTAGAAATGGTAGTCATTACACTACAGATAAATTCATATTTTAATATAAAAATATATCTTTATATATATAATTCTTCTGTGAGTGTGTATGTCACTGAACTTCTCTCAAACAACTGGACCAGTTTTGATGAAATTTTTTGTGTGTGTTCAAGGGGATCTGGGAATAGTTTAGATTCACAATTTTGTCCGCTGGACAATGTTTTTTTCATTAATTTTTAATTTATTAGTAGTTGTTGATACAAACTTTTTTTTGACATTAGATTTGACAACTAACTATTATGTCAATCATTCTGTCGCACTTCAAAACACGGAGATTTATTGCTTTGATAGGTAAACTCCAAAAATATAAATAAAAAAACGTAACAGATATTTCTTGATTATAGGGCGATACGAAATTTGCAGGGTCTTCTAGTGTATATGTATTACCTGTGTATGATCTTCATGGTGATCATCCATAGACACATTAGGAGCCGTTTCAAACTCAGGTTTGCCGACTTCTCTTCTTTCATAATCCTCTTCATTAGCCTCGTTTACATGTTCTTGACTCTGTTCTTTTGTTTTACTTTCTGTGTTAGAACTTTTATTTTCTATATCAGGGTTGTCAATATTTGATTTTATGTTTTCTATACATTCAGCGTTTTCAGTGTCAGGGTTGTCAATACTTGATTTTATGTCTTCTGTACATTCTGTACTAACGGTTTCAGTCTCTAATTTTGTTACTTCACCATCTTTCAATATTTCTTTTGACACAGTTGGTTCTGCTTCATTATTAACAATATGCTCTTCACTAATTTCAGATTTAGTAATTTCTTCATTATCACAAGAACTAGGTTTATCCTGATGGACATCAGGTTTAGATTCTGAATCTAAAACTTGTTTTTCTAAATCTTGTATTTCTTTTTCTGGCTCTAGTGATACTGTATCTAACTCTGAGATTTCTTGAAGTTCCTCTGAAATAAATTTATATTAAATTATTTATGATATATAAAGACTTTGCAACTTTTTATCTACTCTATAGTTAGTTAAGATAAATTTTCATAGTAAAAATATAGTTTAATATAAAAGTATTAATCATCAATCCTTTTATATAAATGAAACTGATATTTTTCCAATTATACTACACATATTTAATTTTAATATGAATATAATTCTTCGTCATAAGTTTATTCACTATATTCTAATGCAATATACTGTGGAATTTTCATCAGAATACATACACACATCATACAGTTAATTACAGTTGCATGAATGCACAACAAAATATAGTAATAAAATGTATAAATATAAATAACGATCACAGACATACCTTTTTGAATTTCTTCTGTGTCTGTAGTATCATCACCAACACTGATAGATACTTCAAAATCTTTTTCGTCACATTTTTCACTCTTTTCTACAACATCACTTTTAATAACGTCACATTTTAAACTATTTTGTATACTACCAGGTTCACTTGGTCCACATTCACTGTTTTCTTCACTTTTAATACAATTATTTTCGCTAACTTCTTTTATATCAGTCGTATTTATTCCACCGGTCTCATTATCGTTTTCGCCGTGATTCTCAGGTATTTCTTTTTCATCCATTCTGGTCCAATTAGATTATTGGAAACACTCAAAACATAACACGCATCTGTAAAATAATTAAAACCTTTTAAATAATAAAGTAAACCCATTGTTTTTACCGCATACTTGCCGCGCCCGGCAACATTTTAAGGTTATAAGTAACAAGAATTAAGTGACATATCTATATCCATTATTTATATATTTTGAAATACAAACAAGAATAAGGTGATACTTAATTACATATCTTTGCAACTTACTCTTTGCAATTAGAATGCAGTTGACGCTAAACATATTCAAGCTACATATCCCGCGCTTATTTCTTTATCTTTAATAAGCGGTTATTTTGGTTTTTTTAATGCCTAATCCATGTGTTTTATCACTATAATATTTCTTAATTTACATTCTTAATGTCATATGCATTTTAATTATAAAATAAAGTATTTTTATGACTACGGCTAATGATTTAATCCTATGTAAGTGAAAAAAACTACCAATACTTTTTACTTTGCCTATAAATAGGAACATAAATTAACTAATGACAGTAAAGATTTATACAATTATAATCAATGCAGAAGATTTCTTGTATAAGTACTTACGAAGTTTCAATATTTAACAATTCACTTGAAAGCCACAACAAACGACCACCATTTTGGATTCAACCTGTGCCTGCAATTTGTTGCGGATGTAAAGATGTCTATCAAATGAATTACTAACATTATATTTCCTCGTCACAGTAATATTACTCCTTTGAAAATATATTACTAATATTTTTAAAGTTATTTAGTACTCTATAATAATTTAAAAGTTTTTAAAACATAGTTCTCACAGAATAAAAAGTAATCAATGGTCGATGCGAATCAACTTAGCAACTAATGTTGGTATATGAGAATGCTTTTAAAATTAGTGATGTCAAGCATAAAGTATCGATATTGAATGATTAACAATCTTTATTTAACAAAAAAAATATAATCTCTGTGATTCATTAAAGCGAAAGTAATACATATTAAAAGAAACATTAACTATACAAAGTTAATCTAAATACAGTTAAAGAAAATAGTTTTTAAAAGAAAATGTCATAATAAAAAAATATATTTTTATCCTTCTATTATGTTATGTTTGTTTTCAATGCGTTATTAGACGACCACAAAAATTTGTCTTGAAGAAAATAAAAATTATAATTAAAGAGCGTGGACAGAGTATTTATCTTTATCATTCCAATCACTATCTATAATAATTATTCTGGAAATATACATAAGTTGTGGAGAACTTAAATAGAACTTAATAAGAACTTAAAAATCTAAATTTATATTATGTAAACTTTTCCATTATTCATTTAAAAATAGAAGTTAAATAGAGTGTAATACTAGGTTATTTTAGTTTTTGAATTAAGTATAAATATACGTGGAAATATATATGGAATAATGGTTCATAACTTGGAAAGCTTTGAGAAAGTACAATAATTTATAAGTACATAGGTACATTATATTGTAATTTTGTTAAATTGATGGCACAGCGAAAAACCACAAGGGATTTCATAATAAACATTGAACGCGTCCCTACGAAGTGGAATAGTTCGTTTTCAACTACATTTATATATTTTCCTGCAAATTTCTTACGTGATTGGTCATTCATCACTCTAGGATTGGTAGTATTCGTTGACATTGAGTCATATTTTTAGATCTGTTTCATGATTGGACAAAAATGAAATATTTAAAGATATCAAAGTTTTCGAATTATTATGGCGGGTTCGTGTTTTTTCGATCTCAAATACGAAATGAGCAGATATGTGCGCCGCTGGGGCGGCGACATTGACAGCATATTGTCGTATATTCTCGTTCGCCATTTTGTGAATGTAATGGAATTTTGTGTAAAATAATTGAGGTACAATCAACCTGGAGAATATCACATTTGCCGTAAGTAAAATTTTCTATATTACCCTTGCCGGACCTATTGGTATATGATTATATTCCAAGTTCTGTATGAGATCGTTCGGGTGTGTGCCAATATAAATCATAACTTTGTTTTTTCAATGTGCTATTGTACGTAAATGGTTAATATTTTGGTTATGAAACTTGAGGTAGTTCAAACTCCATTTGTTTTTCTAGTTGCAATGTCTGAAAAGTCTTTAGTGGGAAAAACGGCGTTAAAGCGTCATGAAGTTGCAAGACCTATACATATTCAAAGACTAGAAGCAGCTCTAGACATAAGACCTTTCGTCAATCAAGTGGAAAGGATACTGAATTCTGATGGGGACTCTGACAGTGAAGATGATTCAGATGGGAAGTCTATGGCAAATGAAATGTCCAAAGGTGATAAGGACATGCATGGTGTTGTAACTACAAGACAAGGTAATTTATATAAGTTATATAAAGTTTTTATACAGTTAAACAGAAAGGTATAATTAAAACTTCTATATGTCTTAATGACAATAATACAAGGTAACCCTTTGATTATATAAAGATATTTGTCTACTATCATTGTAGTATGCATATTTCATAACAGATATTATATATAAAGGACACATTAATTAATGGAGACAACATATTATCAAATTCTGTGATTACAAATCAGTGTTTTTAAACATAAAAATACTAATATTATTATTTTGTTTAAGAGCGACAAAGTGATCAATTAAGACTATATAATTTGTCATCTGTTGGTGAGGAGAGGCAATGGTTAAGAGATGTGCTGCTGTCTTCAGAATCTGAATCAAGTAGCGAAGATGATACACCAGCTGCTAAGGAAAGAAGGATAAAACTATTACTTAAAGAAAGACATTTTCATAATAAATATGCAAAGAGTTACTATAAGGATTCTGGGGTGAGTTAATAAGTGAATAAGACTATTAAATTTCTAATCTTTGATATATGCACTCAAATTTTTTAGTATTTATTGTACAAATTTGATTGATCTTGTGAATTGGTTAGAGTTTATCCGTATAATAGTCTCAGAAATTGTATGTTTTTGTCCCTCATAAAGTTTTAAAATTATGAATATCATGGTAGTGGTGTGAAATACATATAATGAATTATATACAGTGTAAACTATATGTAACATCATTTGATTTAACAATAAACTCTCCAAAGCGTCGAAATCAATTGACTTTGGTTGGTTTAGCTTGTCTACAATACAATGATACACTCTACATAGCATTACACCCACTCTCAATAACAACAACAATTAAGTAATAAAAAGTACCTTTTAAGTTGCTAAATTTAGTAAAAACTGCACAGCTGTGTTTGTTCTTTTTTCGCTTTGTTATTCTAGCCCAAGATATGAATAAAATAAGTCAAAAAATACAACAATATTACTGGTGCAGCAAAAGACGTCAAACAAAAATAACCGAGTATACGCAATAGCATTTAAATAACATTCTTTTTTAGGTACATAACTGCTAACAATAATTTGAATTAAACTTTTTCTTTTTCTAATTCAGATTTTTCTTCTCTCCTTTTACCGACAACTCTATAACGCCATAAAATGCACAGTCCCTTCAGTGTCGTTATATAGAGTTTACACTATGTAATAAATGTAAAATTAATTTATAGAACTCCCGCTACATGTACTATGGTGCGGGGTTGTTATCTACTATCGACCGTTACCCTGAGCGGAGGATCAGTAGGCCTTTGCCCCCCGCACGAGGGCGCCGTGGCCGACCGGCAGAACGGGGCTCCTCTAGGGGACTTCAAAGAAACAGACGGGGCCGCGCTAAAGAAAGCCGTACAGACGGCAGCGATGCTGTAAGAGTTATAAATATTTTTTTCTTATTAGGAAAAAATAATCAGTTACTACAATTTTTTTTACTTATATATTGCTATGTATATTGAAAATGGAGATGATTTAATTTTTAATAGGAACTAATGATGTTAATAATGAGATCTAAGATTTCCACGAGTATTCATTGAAATGAAACTAATATACGTGATTTTATTTAAAATATTAGTGTCATTTGAATGATGTTAATGTCAATTTAGTCCTAAAATATATATAGCTGTCTTAATAATGATTAATGTTTGTACTATTACAGCCAGATGGCGTTGACTGGGAGGAACAACTTCGTAATCTCAAAGAGGAGAATGATACGGATGAATTTACTATATCAGAGAAACCTGGACCTAGGTATTTGTTCTGTTATTTATTTTAGCTTTATTTAGCTTTTGTCTGTGAATCTGTCCGAGTGGAAATCAGCGTTGCTATGTAGTCTATATTTTTCGTCAAGGTTTCATCAATTTTTATACCAAAATTCATCAAAATCGGTTCAGTGGCATAGGCTTAGAAAGGTAGCAGACAGACAAACAGAGAGGCAAAGAGAGTTAGTTTCGTGTTTACAATATTAGTAGGGATAATATAGGATTAGTGAATAACATTTTATATCATATCAATAATATTACACTTAAATATGTATAAACAAATCTCTCGAATAATTGATTATAAAGTAATTTAGACATTTTTTTACACCGTAAAGCAAATTTCTTATTGGAAGTATAAAATATTATGTGAAGCTACAGTATTGAGTAAAAAAATTTGTATGTTCATACTCACTCTATGCAATCTTTTAGTGACTAAACAATGAAATCGTTATGTTAATATTTGTTTATATTTATTTTATTTCAGGGGTCGTAAAAAGTTATCATCATTGAAAAGCCCAGAAGCTTTAACAGCTAGACGAAGGCGACATTGGCAGCTGTTAGTTAAAAAGGAGCTCGGAAAAGTTCAGAGATCAAGAACGGCAACACATAGAGAACTTATGCTGCAAAGGAAAAGATTGGCAACACTGTGTTGCAAGCATTGGAGACATGTTGCAATGCAAGTATGTTATAATATATCATTAAAGAAATGTTGAAATTATATTTAAATAAACATTTGAAATAGGAATTACAGAATATGAAATGCATCTGCATAAGCTTGGTTTGAAATGAAATGTAATGAAAATTTTGTTCTAGTTTATTCTACATTTTATAGATTCAAATACCAATACTTGTTTCAATGAATATTGTATATTATTTATTAAATATATAAGA